TTTATTAGTGATGTTGAGTATCTTTTTGTGTCCCTGTTGGCCTTATCTGTCTTCTTGGAAAAATGCCTATTTAGATCCTTTTCCCATTTTTTATAAGGTTATTTGTTGTTTTTATGTTGAATGAGTTCTTTGTATATTTTGAATATTAACCCTTATGGCATATATTGTTTGTACATATATTCTCCCATAAGTAGGCACCCTTTGAATTTTTTTTTTGATAGTTTCCTTCACTGTGCAAAAGCTTTTCAGTTTGATGTAGTCCCATTTGTTTATTTTTGCTTTTGCCTCCCTTGCTTGAGTAGACGAATCCAAAAGAAGAGTGATGTCAGAGAACATACTGAGCATGTTGCTGAGTAGACAAATTCAAAAGAAGACTGATGTCAGAGAACATACTGAGTATGTTTTCTTCTAGGAGTTTTATGGTTTCAGGTTTTACAATCAAGTTTTTCATTCATTTTGAATTTATTTTGTATATGGTATGATAAAGTAGCCCAATATGATTGTTCTGCATTTAGCAGTCAAGTTTTCCCAACACCGTTGATTGAAAAGGCTATCTTTTTGCCATTGTATATCTTTGTCCCTTTTGTCATAGATTAATTGATCATATAACAGTGCATTCATTTCTGGGCTCTCTCTTATGTTTCGTTGATCCATGTGTCTGTTTTTGTGCTAGTACCACACTGTTTTGATTACTGTAGCTTGGTAGTGTAGTTTCAAATCAGGTAGCATAATGTCTCCAGATTTTGTTCTTCTTTCTCAATATTGTTTTGGCTATTTGAGGTCTTCTGTGTTTTCAAAAAATTTTAGGATTTTTTGTTTTAGTTCTGTGAGAAATGCCATTGGTATTTTGGTAGGGATTGCATAAATCTGCAGATTGCCTTGGATAGTGTGATCATTTTAACAATATTAGTTCTTCCAATCATTAAGCTTGGTGTATCTTGCCATCTGTTTGTGTCATCTTCAATTTCTTTTCTCTGTCTTACAATTTTCCAAAAACAGGTGTTTTAGCCAACTTGATTTATTGCTAGATATTTTATTCTTTTCAATGTGATTGTTAGTGGAATCATTTTCTTGATTTCTCTTTCTGATAGTTTGTTGTTAGTGTATAGAAACACAGCAGATTTCTGCATATTAATTTTGTATCCTGCAACTTTACAAATTCACTTATTACTTCTAAATTTTGACTTCAGGATTTTTTATGTAGAGTATCATATCATTTACAAACAGTGACATTTTTATTTCTTCCTTTCCAATTTGGGTTGCTTTTATTTATTTTTCTTATCTTATTACTGTGGATAAAACATCCAATACTATACTGAATGAAACTGGTGAGCATGGGCATTCTTATCCTGTTCTGATCTTAAAGGAAAGGCTTTCCGCTTTTCACCATTGAGTATGATATTGGCTGTAGGTTTGTCATATTTGGCCTTTGTTATATTGATATATGTTCCCTCTATACTCATTTTGTCAAATGTTTTTATCATAAAGGGATATTGAATTTTGTTCAAAAGCTTTTTCCACATCTATTGAGATAATTATATGATTTTTAATTCTTCAGTTTATTCATGTGTTGACTCACATTTTTGATTTGGGGATATTGAACCATCCTTGTATCCCTGGGATAAATCTTACTTGATCTTCCTGTGTGATCATTTTAATGGATCTTTGAATTGGGTTTGCTAATATTTTATTGAGGATTTTTTGCATCTATATTCATCAGTGATATTAACCTATAATTTTCTTTTTTTGTGTGATATTTTGACTGGCTTGAAAACAGGGTGACTCTGGCCTTGTAGAATGCACTTGGAA